AGGCTCAAGTTGCATAGAATGCTGTTTTCCATCCTTTTACTTTCAATCCATGTATTTCTCTGTAGATGTCATAGGTTTCTTGTAGACAATGTGGGCTTTGGGTCTTTTTGTTTTGTTTTGTTTTGTTTTGTTTTTTATTCAATGCAGCAATCTCTGTCCTTTAAAGATTATTTACACTGAGTTATTACTAAAAGGTATTGACTGAACTCTGTCATTGCATCTTTTTTGTGTTTCTAATTCCTGTACTTTTTTTTCCTGTTTGTTTAACTGCTCACCCAGTTGGATGTAGTCTTCTTTTCTTTGAGTGCTTTGGTTATGTCAACCTTATTCTCTCCACCTGAGATTCTTTTAAATACTTTGCAGTGTTGTTTTGATGATCATGAATTCCCCATGTGTTCTCTGTTATGGAAAGTATTTCCTCATCAATTTTGAAAAATGCAGAATATATCTGTGTTGACAGTTTCCTTTTTCTTTTAAGGCTCAAAAACTTTGTTTTAAGCTCTTCTGAATTTTAAGATTTGTAGTGAGAAATCTGTTTTCTGTTTAGCTTTCGATCATGTTACTTTCTTCTCTATCAGCTTTCATATTGTTCTTTGTGTTTAAATTCTGGGATTTTAACTATATCTCATGGAGAAGTACTTGTCTGGCCCTGATTTTTTGGGATTCCATTCTGGAAGCATGAGTTGAATACTTTCCCTAGATTTGTCAAAATGTGGATGATTTGGGTGGATAAATTTTTATACATTTTGTGTTAACTTCTAACCTTTCCTTAACTCCTATTACTCTTGTGGGATATTTTGTCATCTAGAAGCTGTTAGATGCAGTTTCCGTTGTGCCCTGTTGTTTTTAGGGTATCACTGAGTGCATGATCTACTACATTAACCCTGTCTTCAAATTCTGACGCAGTGTCCTCACACTGGTCTTTTAGCTGCCCATTCAATGAAATTTTTTTATATTATGGATTTCTGATTGATTTTTTTCATAGTATTAATTAATTACTGAAATGTTCATGTATGTCTTGTGTCATCCTGTGTAATTCAATCAGCTTTTTATTTATGTCTTTTTTAAGATCATTGAACATTTTATCATTTTAGTCTTTATCTGTTTAGCTACATGTTCTCTGAGCTCCCTGAACATCTTATGGGTCATTTTCTTTCTTCTTTGATCCCTTTAAACATTTTAACCACTTGGCCTTTTCCTTCCTTCACTTCTATGCCTGAGATAGGTTTTTGGAGAGTTAAGAGGTTTTGGAGGCATCCTGTTGCCTTCTGTTCTCATGTTTCTACTGCTTTGCATTGAAGGCTGAGGATCAATTAGGGTGGAAAAATTTTGTCACTACTATAAAAATCCATTTAGTTAGTGCATATTTCTTTGTAATGTGTTCTTGGATTTGTTTTGTTTTGAGATTTACATACCTCTTCAACCTACTGAAAATAATAAAAACAGTTGAAGTCACTGCACTATGAGGAGTGATCCACTGCTAATATATCAGCATCTACAGAGCCAACCATACATCAGTCATGTAATGTAAAACTTGTTTTAACAGTTTTACACTTTTTATCAATGACCCAGAAAGATGTTGATACAGTACTTATGACAAATAGGCTGGGAGATAGAGGATGAGAAAAAGAAAAAGGAACAGAATTTTTCAGAAAGAAGGAAATTTTTAAAAAGATATAATAGCAAATGAAAGATAAAAAGAGAATTTTGTTGA